CAAGTGTTTTTGAGTTGAATTCTGGAAGAGAAGTTAGCATGCCATATGTCCCCGTAGATATGGGGGAAACATGGAGGAACTACAAATATTTGCTATGGCCTCAGAGAAAGAAACCAAGACTGTGGAAGGCCTAAACTCTTTGTTCCATAGTTTGCAATTTATCTTTTGGGATAAGCAAATTTCATGAGCTCTATAGACCAAGGTCCATCATAGGATTCCTTGAATTGGAATGCTTATTGAGACTTCAGAATTGATGTAGATCAGGAGAAGTTCTACATGTTGCAAATAAATTGTTTAAGAAATGAGAATGTTAAAAAAAATATGGATGGCAAACATGAAGATAATAGAAACGGTGAGCTTTTCATCATCTGTTGATATGGAAGAGCCAATTTCACATGGGACATAGCTACATCTGAAGAGAAAGGCTAGATATCAGAATGAATGTGGTATAGCAGTCCCTCAAAGATAAAATCTTCACGTCATGGAGAGAAGCGAACTGGATGTTTATAAGGAAGCAAAGCAACAGGTTGTTCTACGAGGAAGTGGTGAAACTTTCCATCTTGCATGGAAGCTCATTAAGATCAGCAAGTAATTAACTCAAAGCTAGCTGCATAAAGTCCACAAAACCTTCCATATTCACTAGACTTCTCCGTTCCCAAGCGTATAAAACAGTAAGGAGTGCTGGGAGACTTCTAAGACAAGACAAGCAGCTTAGAAGATTGTCAGACAGGATGAATTTCCTAGGAGAAGAAACTAGTCGAACTGTTTGGATTGGGCTTATACTAACAGAGCCACTTGGAAACGACACTCTTGAACATATTTGTTGCCTGAAAGTTGAACAGTGTGCTCTTAAGTTTTCTGTTTCCATGAGCTATCACCCACCTTGTCTGAGTTTTGCTGATACAGCTGTCTTTGCCTTATTTCTACTCCTGTAAGTAACCTTTTACCAACTGTCGTAGTCAGTGTCACCATGACCAAAAGCAAACTGGAGAGGAAAGCATTTATTTGGCTTACAGACCCACATTGTAGTCTATCACTAAAGAGAGTTGGGGCAGGAACTCAAGCATAGACGGAACCCGGATACATGGAGGGGTGCTGCTTATTAGCTTACTCCCATTGGCTTCTTCAGCCTGCTATTTTATAGAACACAGGACTACTAGCCCAGGGGTGGTCTCACCACAATGGAATGATCCCTCCAACATCAATCACTAATTAAGAAATGTCCCACAGCCTTGCCTCCATCCTGATCTTAAGGAGGCATTTTCTTGAGGCTCCCTCCACTCCAATACCTCTAGCTTGTGTCATGTTGAGATCAAACTACACAACATTCCAGCATCTCTGTATATTTCTCTAGTAAAACTCATTGGTTCAACAAATTGGTCTTCAGTGTTATCTTTTCTCTGGTTTGCCATCAGTTCCCTCTTTGGGGCAAGAAGATGTTCTTATCTCCCCAGAAATAATAGTGATACCCAACAATTAAATAAGCAAAAAACTGACACTTGAACTTATGGATACAGCTATGTTCATATAAAAAATAGTGGAATCATATGAATAAAAGAGCGTTTCAAATGAAAGAAAAGAAATTTGGAGATGAGGCCTAGAAGAGAGGAGAGTGTGAGAAGGCAAAAAACAAAGGACTGATTAGAAAGAAATGGAGGCAGGGCTATGGCAGTTAGAAGATCTTGGAGGCCTCACCAGGGCCACTTTCAGAGAACACTAGCATGGAAGTCAAACATCAGGGAACTGTAAACCAAAAGGGAAAAGACAACAGTCAGGGCATGCTTTCCTGTTGTAGAAACTTGACTATAAACACCATAGCACTGTTCTGGATGAAAATTTAGAGTTGTGGTCCAAGGAACGAGGAAGGAAGTGTGCTTGTTTTAATAGGGGAAACATAAATATGTTTCAGATAAGATTACCAAGGACTAAGGAGATAAAAGAGCGATAGAATGGTAAAGCTCAGTTGATGGTACACTTGGCTAGCTCATAGGAAGTTCTGGGTTCTGCCCACTGCACAAAATCCATTACGTGACACACGACTGTGATCCCAGCACTCAGTACTCAGGGAACAGAGTCAGGAGGATTGGAAATTCATTCATGGTCATCCACAGTTACAGGGAACTTGAGGCAGCCTGGGCTAAATGAAACTCTCTCAAAACAAAACAACTGCAATATTCAACCAAACAAAGAAAAACAAAAACAGGGAGGAGAAAGAGAGTGGGGGAGGAGAGGAGAAGAGAGAAAAGGAAAGAAAAAGAAAAGACGTAAGGATATCATAAAAAGAGGAGAGGTGATAGCTGGTCATACGTCCATAAAGAGGAAAAGAGTTAATTCTAGATAAGTGTGCTTGAGAGTAAGGCCTTCCTGGCATAACCAACTGCCTTGGGACTATCTGTTCTACTTGGGTTTAAAGGCAAGCAAGGGCTGTAGTTCCCTTTTGTTATTCCCTAGAAATAATACCTTGAATAGTAGCAGTGAGATTACATATATATATATATATATACATATATATATATATGTATATATATATATATATGTGTGTGTGTGTGTGTGTGTGTATGTGTATATGTATGTGTATATATGTATGTATATATACAGGCAAGGGTTGCATTTCAAAACAATTATGATGCTCTCGATCTTAGCATCTGTGTCTATATTTCATGTATGTTTAGACTTTCCAGTTCCTCTCTAGAAGCAGAGCACAGTTACAAAGACTTTAGAATCAGGAGACACAGTTTTGTACTGATCTTGGCTTAGAGTCTGCTTGGGTCCAGGGAAGAAGCACTGCTTTAAGATGAACAGTGCTGAGAGCATCTCCTGTACTCAGCAAGGCACTGCAAGAGAAGTCTGGTGGTAACTGCTACTACTGTGATTCAAAAGCGATGATTAGAGATGATTATGTGTTGTATAAGTAGCCCAACAACTGCTAACCTATTTTGGTAAACATCAAAGCTCCTAAGAGTGTTTTTAAAAGGAAATAATCAGAGATGTTACATCATTTACCCTTTACCTTTCTTTTATCCACCCAAAAGCTCCTATATGCCCCTCTTTGCTCTCTTTCAGATTTGTGGCCTTTTCTTCCCTTTCATTACTATCATGTGCATATGTACATACGTATATATTCCTAAATATATAAACAACAAGCTGCCGAGTCTGTATGCTACTCATACGTATGTTTTCAGGGCTGGCCATCTGTTTCTGAACGACCAGATGGTGTGCTCTTCCCCAGGGAAGACTATCTCCTACTCTCAGCACTCATTAGATGTCTGAAGTTCTTTGTGTGGGGTTGTGTAGCAGCATATTTTCCCCATAAGTTGGGAGGAGTTAAGGTGGGAGGAGTAAGGAGAAGAAGAGGAGGAGTAAAGAGAGAAAGAGGAGGAGTAAGGAGAGAAAGAAGAGGAAGAAGGAGGAGCTACGAAGAGAGAGATGCAGGAGCCATGGATGACCACGCATGTACCGAGAGCAGTCCTGGGTAACAAGTTATATCTAGGTTAGTTAATTGATTAACACTTTCAACTGTGTGGGCATCTTGATATTTGAGCATTACCAAATGTATAAAGCTATTGGATAATCTTTAACTATTAGTCTCATTTCTACCGGGTACTGTGTGGATGGCGGGATGGTCTGGGATCAGCCCAACCTTGTGAGAACCATCTCCCACGCTGGAGTCTCATGGGTGCCAGGGCAGGTACTTCTGGCTCTCCTGAGCCAGTGGCCTGAGCTGACCAGCATCGAGAATACATCCCCTCTCATGGCCTCAGGCCTTGTCTAGTTGGGAAGACGGCAGCTGATTAAGAACAAGCCAGATTGGGAGCCTCCGTTTTCAATATCTACCAAAACACGGTTAAAGATTCCCATCTATTCTGGCATGTCTATGGTTGTTATCCTTGTTCAGCTTTCGCTTATAAGGGCCATTATTTAAAGTATGCTGAACTTTTCTACGTTGGTAAGTGTCTCCACGAATATCTGGAGAACACTTTTGTTAAAAAGTACGATTGATCCTCAAGCACATAAAGACTCTTTGCTTCAGTAATTAGGGATGAACTGTTCTTTGAAACTGTAGTGACTATCTTGACAATAACTTATCTGGTTTTCATTATTATTATTATCATTATTATTTCTAAATCCAGTTTTCATATGATCATGTGCTTTGATGGCTAAAACTTATAAGTCTTGGAGGCTTGGAAATATACTTTCTAACCTTCATAATGATCTTCCAAATAGAAGTCCAGTGTACTTCAAAGTGTTAACATTTTGAATATTTTATACCAAACAAATGAGCTAGCATACAAGTTAAAAACCAAGGGTAGAGGTTTAATAAAGAAAACTTGTAATGCATTTTTATCAACTCAGTTCCTGAGATGTCTTTTCTTCAGGATAGCCAACAATCCAAACAGTAATAAATCAAAATTAAATCAGGTCTTCAAATCACTGTCAAAATATCAAACTAAAACACACAGACAGACAGACAGACAGACAACACAGACACACACACACACACACACACACACACACTCGCAACCACTTGGCTCTCCAAAAAAGTACATGAAGTTTTGCAATAAAGAGTGTTATTCCTAATTTAAAAGCTTTCTTGTTTTTTAAAATCTTGTGTGTTTTAGTCTTGTGATTAACATTCAGCATATTATCATGTGATCAGCTTTGAGGATGCAAGCCAAACACTAGGTTGCCAAGCAAAGCAGTTGCTTTTGCCCTGAGAGCAGTTGCAATTCCTGGTTTGCCTTTGGTTAATTTTGAAAGTTAAATTCCAACTGCCAAACTGCTCTTGCATTCACACAAACCACAAAGTCAACACGTACTGACCTGGAAAAACAAACTAGTACTTTAAAGGGGTGAAGGCATTCACATTGTTCTGGGATACCAAATCCTAGTTCTATCAAACCAACCGACACCGGTCATTCTTCCCCACCCCTGCTACCCGCTCCTGGTACCCCATCCCCGCCCAGGAGGCTGCCTGGCCAGGCTCCGACTCCTCCCACGTCCCACTGTGGATAGTGTGAGTCACAGACTCTTCAAGTCTGTGCATTACGTTCTGAGTCACCCGACAGGCGCCTTGCCCAGGATCAAGGCGGACTTTAAGTGTCCACAAAGCAGGAATAGCAGCAGAAGCAGCTCCAGCAGCAGGTATCTTCAAGGTGAAGCTGTGAGGAGGCTCTCAGACCTCTCAGATCCCCGGGGGCCTAGGGCAGATATTGATTCTGAAGAACTTGGACAGAAGCCAAGCAGGAGAAAGACCAGGCTCTCACCAAAGTTGAAGGAAGAGCCTAGGAGCTAGCAGAAGACTCCGGGGACAGAGAGGTAAGGAGGGCCATTGGGCTGCATGGGTCAGGTGTGTCTATGCCTGGCTGGCAGAGTGCATGAGCACCCTGAGTTGCAAAGCCTGCTGCTGGCTTCTAGCGATTGGCTGGACGCCTGACACTGTTGCTATTCAGGCTTTGGTTTCCAGGAGGGAGCGATTGGAAGACAAGAGTACAAAAACAAGCCTGGGGAGCGACTTACAACATGCCCGGAATTTACATGGAGCTTCAGGTTGTTTGCAGTGCTGGGTCCTTCCCACGCAGGGGCAGACACAAGTGCTGTGCAGCTTACTGCCTGTTTTTTTCCTTGCTCTCTCCTATCCATGTTTTTCCACTACACTCCACTCGCCCCACCCCCTTATAACTTTCTTCTGTCTTTTGTTTATTAACTGCTTCTTGTCAATTTGAGACAAATCTTTTTTTAAACCTGCAACCCTTCACCCTGTGTGATAGTTGTTCTTCAGCTAAATTTCTCAGTCTCCAACTTTCAGGCAGCTGCCCTACAGCTCTGTACCTCAGGTCCAGACTGCCTCACCAAGGGCCCCTTTCCTCATGTCATGGCCTCCTAATCTAGGCTGTGTGTCTGTAAACCACACAGACATATCCTCCGGGTTTTCTCAATAACTCCTTGATTCCAAGGTCATGATTTTGGTTTTTATTTGTTTTTTCTCTCTTCCTTTTACAACTTTTAAATATTGAACATCCCTTAGAATAAGGGGTTTCTCTTAGAATGCCTCCACCATCTACAGGATCTAAACCATTTCATCTGTTAGCTTAGGCTGTCCTGGAGTCTGGATGCCCAGGCCCTTAACTCTTGCTCTGGAATGTCTGCTCGTGTCTTTCTTGCCATACCTTTATTTCTAAACTACACTGGCTGTCACCCTACAGCTTCAGATGACCTGGTATGCCTCACACATCTCAAATGGAATGCATCTTCTTCCCCATTCCAAGCCAGTTCTTCATAGGAACTTGATAGGATTCTTGACCTACCCTAAGTATACATTTAGCAGGGAACTTTGTATTGATCCTGGACTCCTCCCTTCCTCAGAACTTGCAGCCATCACTATGTCTGACAATTCCTACTTCTCCAGTCAGGGTTGGATCTGCATCAACCACTCACTAGTCCATGATTGTGGCCTACCAACAGACTCCCCAGCCCCTTTCCACACCCAATAGTGAGCTGTGTCATTTTCTCAAGCCCGAGAGCTACATATAACATCCTTGGTAGAAAACTGTGTATAGCTCCCAGCTCCCAGCCCTTGATTACTCATAAACTCAGCAAAAGAAACTCATCTCCCCCTGTGTCTCACAGGATCCCACACAGAGCACACCCCTAAATACCAAACAAACATGATCTTCTGCTGCATTTTTTTTGTACCTGCCAATCTCTCAGCCTGACATTTTCCCTTTGTACCCCCTTCAGAATTCCTGTTCAAGTTCTCAGAGTCAGCTTCTTTGGGAAGATTACCTGGTACTTCAGTTTCAGTGTATTTTTCAAGAATGTAACAAAGCAAAAAAATGATCCAAGGCAGGTTGGTTGAGTTCAGAAAAACATGAACAGAAAAACATGGAAATAAACACCAGCAAGCACATAGTATTAACAGAGCAGCCCTGAAAGGAACATCAAACAGACACCCGAAGACCAAATTTTCAGCACAAAGGAAATCTATTTGCCTCAGAGGGACAAAGGGCAAGGAATAAGGAATAAAATCAAGAGACAGAAGATAGAGGACAAGGGAGAGGGGGAAGGGAACAAGGGAGAGGGGAAGGGTGTTTTCCCTGGACGGAGAAAGGGCACCTCTGGATAGAGAAGAGACAGCTGCTGCCCACAGACAAATGGCAGTTTATAAAGGTACAAGGGGAAACCTCATTTTAGGATGAGGTAGGTGAACCAATGGGGGCTTTTGATTGCTGGATTTTAATACATTGATTATCTGGACCTTGGTGGGCAGCCTCGGGAGGAACAAGTGGCCAAATAAGGGACTAGACTAGATGACTAGCTAAAAGAATATAATCTAACGGGTTTTTATCACGGCAGAGGGGATCGGAGAAGGTGGAGGTCAGCCAGAACCACATTAGCCATGCTTGAGTCTACTAGAGCTTCTTCAAAGCCTTTCCTAGAACTTTCTTGTGGCCAACCAATTTAAACACAATTGCCTGGCATGTGCTGTAGATTATATCCAGGAAAGCAGAAAAGCAAGGCAGAAAACCATATCCAGATTCAAGGTCCACTGAGAAAAGCATTCGGTATGTCCTTTCTCCAGACCGGGTTCTACAGCTATGTTCCAACATCCAATGAGAATAAACATGTCTTATAAATTGAATGTAAGTATTTAACGAAGGAGGCACAGAATCATGTCTTAGAATAATCCAGGGAACCAAATGAACTGGAGGTAAAAGGCCTTCTGCCTTTTTTTCCTGGAGCATCTCCCACAGTCCTCCAAGGCAGTGTTGACCATGGGTCATTCTATTGACTGTTTTCTAACAGCCATGACAGGAGAGTGCTGTGCAAGTGCTCTGTGAATGCCTTCATCATCTGGCGAGAGTGAGGAGGAAAGCAGTGAGGCATGCTCCCAGGAGAAGAGTGATGTCGCACGCACAGAGCAGGGGGAAGGCTTGATGTCCATGTAAATCCCCTGGACAGTACTCAATTGTCACTGCCCTTATTTCTCCACTTGTAAAATCAAAATTAGTCAAAATGCTTATTCATTTTATTAGCTGAATAGTCCAGTTGCAGAACAAACCCTAAAGCTATTGTTTAGTATTTTACTGAAAATGATTTCACTTTAGATTTACTGGTCAAGGCATTTTTGCTTGATTCCCCAACTTTCTCAAAAGCTTCCATGTGCAACTGAGACACCAATGGTGAGTCACTTTGCCACCTAGTTCCTGCCTCTGATTAACTGCTGTTGTAAGTAGGACCATGCTTTACAACGGTGTGGGAATGTGTACATGTGAACTTGTGTGACTGTGGGTATGTATAGGTGAGTGTGTTTATGTGTGACAGTGCGTGTGTGTGTGTGTGTGTGTGTGCACGATCATGTGTCAATATGCAGTTAATAGGCTGGGTATGCTACTGACTACCATTTGGGTGTTTAGAAGGAATGGGGACAAATTAATGACATGAAGGAAGAAGAGAAATGAAAGAAATCATAATTAGAAGTTGGCACTTAGGAGCAATCACATGTAAAGTTGTGTTTCATGTACTAGTTTAGTTCATTCTTTTGACCTGCTCAGACAAGCTGAACACCCACCACCACCACCATCCCCACATGACAACCCCCCCCCCCCAGATTTTTGTCCTAAGGTAGGGTCAAATTTGCTTTTGGTCATGCTTTGGTTAGAATCTTTTTTTCTTGTTTTGAGTTTCTTTGGTGCCACCTTCTGGTTGACGAGGTTGGTGAATTTTTTATCATACTTTTTGGGATGTCAAGTGTAAGTTGAGGCTGTAGAGACAATGTTGCCTGGAGACAAGTTAGATCTTGCTGTACTGGGGCTTGTCTAGAACAGAAAATGTTTCCTGATACCTATACTCTCTGCTTCAAGTCCTGAAAAAACTTCACGACGTGGAGACAGGGAAGAACTTCACATTTTGCTCTGTAATAGATGGCCTCTTTTAAAAAGTGCCTTGGGGTAAATTCAAATGAAAACTGTTAATAATAGAGAACGCTGCTCCTGTCTGAGCCATTCAGGTCCCCACATTTTCTTGCATCTGAGAGACTCAGGTGACCCTCAAGTCATTGGACCTCAATAAAGTCCAATTGCAAAGCTACCATATGAGGCATTTTGAAACCACAATCTGCCTATTCAGGGAAATGAACATGTGTCTAGCCACTCACCTCTAGGTAAAGCTTCTAATGCTTTCTACGTTGTTTATTTGTTAATCTTCCAAATTAGGACATGCTCTTCTTGAAGGGTTTAAAACTTCCAGTTAAAACTATGTGTACATATGTATGGAAAAAATAACATTAAAATAGCTTGCAGGGCTATAGGGCAGTGACTAATTTGATGAGCTTTAAATACTGTAGGGATTAATAGTCAGGGTTTCTATATATTTCAATAGAATTAGACATAAATAAATATAAAATTATTGTAGAAGACACAAATTTGATAAGATTGTAATAACTAAGAACAACTGCTATAATTAATGATCATGAGACTCTATTACAATCATAATGATTGATCAGTAATGACTGATTAATCACAATGGTAGCAATGCTATAGTGATCCTAACATTTGTAGACATAGTATTACTTTTCATCACTTGAAACAAGAATCCTGCCTAAATTTGACTCTTGTTTTTTAAGTCTGTGTTTGTTTGTGGTGCTAGTGTGCGGTGGGTAGACACACACACACACACACACACACACACACTGGCTGTGCCAGTCAAACCCTCTTTTTCTTTATTATTTTGAAACAGCATTTCTCTAAATTGTCTTGACTAGTATTGAACTTAGTTGGTAGCCCAGACTGTCCTTGAACTTGTGGTCATTAGGCTAGCCTCAGTTTCCTGAGTAGCTGCCGTAGGAGTGGTTCTGATGCTAAGGTCCTGTTTCCCAATTGCTTCTTTATCTATCAGTAAAGAGGCCATGGACCAATTGCAGGGTAGAAGGATAAGCGGGACTTTTGGTTTCTGCAGGCCAGCTGGGAGCCCAGAGGAGGAGGGGGTCGGGAGGGGCAGAAGGGGAGGGGGAAGGGGAAGAGGAAGGGCGTTTGCCAAGATTTTTGGGAGGGAGCAAAGTCAAGCAGCCATGTGAGATCTTAGGCAGAGCTGTCTCTTCTACAGGCAGGAGGTTCTGAATGTTGAGTTGGAACTGAAGGTAACTGAGCAACTAAAGTTGAGGACAGAGTTAGGGTGCTGAGCTGAGAGTACTGGGGAGGGCATGCTAGCTGTGGGGTATTTATAATGCCCAGAAATTGAGCCAATAAGGCAAGTTGAAGTTGAGCAGCATGTATGTCTGTGTTTTTCATCCGCAGATTCAATATTCTCTGGGTGGGGACTGGAAGCGAGCCTGTTCCCGGAGCTTAGGCGGTATAGCAAAAGCTACATACAGCAAACTGGGCCAACAGGACTGTGCTGCCTGGCCAGACCTAGGCTGGGGCATTTCCATTTCCAGAACCAGCTTAATAGGGCGCTGCTGGGTAGCTACGTTCCCACGGGAAGTTTTAGTCGTTTTTGGAGGGTGAGGTGGGGGCTGTAAAATTGCCTAGAGGCATTTGATGAAATGTGCATTTCAAAGGGATAAATAGCGTAATTGACAACCACAGGTTTTGAAGGAAGGAAGTGAGCTTAGTAAGCTGTTTTGTTCCTTCTTTCAGTTTAGCTTTATGATTGTTCAGTAAAGCTGACGGAAAGGTTGAAGGTAGCCTGTGCTTCTGCTGCGCCTGGGCTGTTCAGTTTGGGTTTCATGTGAAATAAACATACACACACACACACACACACACACACACACACACACACACACACAGGTTCCCACACCACTCTCAGTAGATGTAGTGGAAAATGTTACATCTTTTTTTGGAGTTACTCTCATTCGAATACATTTTTTTGTCTACCAACAGTCCACATTTCAGGTTAGACCACCCTAAATACAGCCTCCAAAACTAGAAAATTTTCATCCTCCGAATTTTCACATGACATGGTAGTAGAGATGGACTTTCTATTTGTAGAAAATTATTGATGATTCTTAGAACATTGTTTAGTAATTATATTAGAGACTAAAAAGAATATATATAGCAATATTCTGATGTGTGTGTGTGTGTGTGTGTGTGTGTGTGTGTGTGTATGTGATGATTAGGAGTGACAGGCTGTGGAATCTGGGAGTTTCAGTCACTAATTAATTCCTGGAGCTCTGAAAGGGTCATCTACACCCTGTCCAGCCTTCCAGTCCCTCCCTCCTTGAGGCAATGGCTTTACTGACCTCAATGTGATATTTATTGGGGTTATAGAGCTGACTCTAAGATCAGTGACTGTCAGGGTGGGCCATTGGCAGCTAAATGGAGGGACTAACTGTTTGAGGGAAGGATTAAACTTGATTACTGAATAGAGGGAGTGACAATCTGAGGGAGGGATTAAACAATTTCGCAGGCTGTCTGAGCCCCTGTTTCAGAGAGTCCTACATTCATGGGCCAGTATTTGGTTGCATTTGTATATATTCAGGGGGCATATTTGACTTTGATTTTATATTGATCCTGTATTATTTTTGTTAGACAGGGATGGATGGAATCAGTGTGGAAATGAAGGGAGGAAGGTGGGCATCTCCAGGAGCAGAATTGTTCTTTAATCATAACAGCTGAAGAGCTGAAGTCCTTCTGTGGAAGAAAACTTGTGGGTGTAGTGTTGGGGTTTGGGAATTGTATAGGACAAAAGGAGGGAGGAAACTCTGGGGGTGGAGGATTCTATCTGCAGGTCTTCCTCTGCAGTTGGGAGGTGGTGGATACCAGCAGGCTTGCTATGGGTGTCTCCTTAGAAGAATCTTCCACATGAGTTGTCAATCAAGTCAAATTTCCTATCCAGAGCTTCTCAGTCCATCTGAGAACTTTAGGTCATTAACCTTTTAATTATTGCATAGACTTTGTGACTGCAAATGACATAAAATCATTATCTCAAGGCTCTAGAGGTTCAAATCCACTATGATACTGCGGAGTCTGTTATCTGCTCTTACCAAGCCATCAGGAGGCAATCTTATTTCCTAGCCTTTTCCAGCTTCTTGAGATGGCCACATTGGTGGCCTGGCACCCCTGTGACTTCTACCTGTATCTCCTTTTCTCACTCTGAACCTTCCTGCCTCTCTCTCTTCTAAGAGTCTTTGCTAGTTCTTTACAGTTTCCTTGATACTCTAGGCCAATGTCCATGCCTAAAATCCTTACTTAAATCACACAAGTACGGTACTAACTGCTAAATAAGACAATAAGACAACATACAGGGTTTAGGGGTTGGGACTGGGTATGTTTTGAGGTATACATATTCCACCTGATATGCCTACTGTCCTCTGATGGAGGTCCTGGTGACCATGCGATTATAGAAAGCTTTGTTGATGTGCTTCTGTGCTGTGCCTTCAGTCTAGACCCTCTCAGATGGATGACCTCTGTGAAGCCAATGGCTCTTTTGCCATCAGCCTATTAAAAATATTGGGTGAAGAAGACAAGTCACGAAACCTGTTCTTCTGCCCCATGAGTGTCTCCTCAGCTCTGGCCATGGTCTACCTTGGAGCCAAAGGAAATACTGCTACCCAGATGTCCCAGGTATGCTTGTTGGCAGTGTAGGGATGGATAGAGGGGGAGAAAAACAGCAGGTTAGTTCTGACTCCCTAGAGCAGGGGTTCCTTCTGTATCATCCTGTTGGTGAAGGTCAGTTTGGCTGGTAGGTGGGAAGAGAGATCTTGTGATCAACATGGGCCAGTATAGAATGAAGGCAATCAAGTAGGACCAGTCATCTCCTCTACACTTAACAGGAGACAATGAGTGTCAAATAACTTTACCTAGATAAATGTCATTAAACACTCTGTAGATTCACATCTTGTAGAAAAGTGGTAAATTATCATCCTCTCCAACACAAAGTATCAGAATAAAACCTGCTTTGGTATCTTTTCAGCTTTTGTAATGTTATGTTTTAAATAGAAATGCAGCTGTGTAAGTAAGTTTTTGCGAAATGGGTGTTTTTTTCAGGTATGATTATACATAAGTTGAAGAAAATGAGCATAAGTACAAAATTAGTTCTTTGGGAATCATTTAGAAGGAATATTTAATCTGTCACATCTCAAATATTTGTCTGTACGTTTATCTGTAAAGGAGAAAATAGTGATGTTTTGGGGGCACAAATATCTTCACCCATATGGGAGAGCATCACTCAAATGTCCATACAGATATCACTAGAGTGTGTGTGGATGAGCTCCTGCAGGGCATCCAGGAGCAGAAGAAGCTGAGACCTTCTCACTGAACTCCTGAGGAAGAAACCTTGGGAGTGAGACTTGGTAGGAGACAGAAGGGAAACTATAACTCTCATCATGTGATCTAGTCTGGAAAACAAACAAACAAATGGAGCTTCTCCCTTCTTATATCTGCTGTTTTATTCTTACATTCTCCAGTTATTAGATTCATCCCTGTTATCTAGTTTTTATGTTACCCATCCATCCTGAGTTATCACATAATGCTTTTCTGGGATGGATGAATCCTCCAGACCAGGGGCTGTCATTTAAAGGGGGTGGGAGGGATTTTGCTTCCCCAGGGATACTTCTTAAGGGCTCAGTGGTTTATTTTTCACAGCAGAGAGGTGCTACTGACATCTAGTGGGTAAAGCCCACAAATACTGCCAGCATCCTTCAAAGCATTAGGCATACACAGCTTCAGATGGCACAAGTGCTGGGCTAAAACCCCATTAAGACAGTCAAACCAGACTCCTGTGGGAAAAAGCACACACGGCAGGGTCCTGGAACCACGGGAGTGACCTACTGGGGTGTGGGGGGGGGACCCACATACTGGAAAAAGTCTGAAGTTTCAAAGGCTGGAAGCTTTGACAGCTGCAGGCCCCAGAAGACGTGTGGAGTCCATGGGTTTAAGAAGTTTATTGTTCATGGTGTGGTAGTTGGTGTGGTAGTTGGATCTGGATGTGCACACCCTTCAGTTGAGCCAGGGGAGAGCTGGCTTAAATAGGGAGGGGGAAAGAGGAGGGACTGCTGAGGAATAACTTAATTAGCTATTCCACCACCCCCACCCCCACCCCTGCCTTTAGGTAACTCATGAATATGACACGCCCTCTACCTGTAGGTGGATGGTGATGAAAACCTCTCTGGGAGGAGCTACTTTGAGCCAAACAGGTCTGCAAGGTGCAGGCTAATGGAGATGTAGGTTGCATGTAGGAGTCTGGCATCTGGAGGTATGGGAAGATACGTGCCATCCGTCACAGGCCATGGTCACCTGTTGGGTCTCCAGCTATCTCAAACCCAGTGCTCTACTGGGGAGACCAAATCATCCCTTCATGGCCCTACAGACTCCGTTTACTATAAAAATATTTCAAATTTTCATCCCTTAGCTGTGTTTGTGTGTAGGAGGGGAGATAAGGATCATGTTAAAAACAGGCTACTTATTTATTCTCTCCCTAGGTACTTGGTTTGAGTGGAAATGGAGATGTTCATCAAGGTTTCCAGACACTTCTCGCCGAAGTTAACAAAACTGGCACTCAGTATTTGTTAAAAAGTGCTTGCCGACTCTTTGGAGAAGAATCGTGTGATTTCCTTTCGGTACGTGTGAGGAAAAGTGTCCACTCAGGACCCCTAAAACCAAGTTCTTAGACCAGGTTCTCAGCATAAAGGAGATTTATTTGTCCCCAGAGGGACAGAGGACAGGAATAAGCGACAAAGGCAGGAGACAGAAGACAAGGGGAAATGGGAAAAGGTCTAATGAGACAGGGAAAAGATACTTGTCTCGGAAGGACAAAGGACTGCCTGTGAATAGAGAAGAGACAGACATGGCACATATGAAAATGGCAGTTTATAAAGGAACACAGGGAAACTCTGTGTAAGGGTGAGGTTTAATTTTAGTTGGGCATGTTCATTAAGTGACCTTTTGATTGCTGGACTCCAATACTTTGACAGCTGGACATTGGTAGGCAGCCTAAGGAGGAGGAAGTGACCAAATAAGGGAATACACCTTGGTAGCTAGCTGTAGGAATATAATCTAATGGTTTTTAACAAAGTGGAGGGAATGGGAAAGAAGGGAAAGTCCTGCCCAAGCTGTGCCCACCATGTTCAAGGTGGCCATTGTCCCTTCATTTCCACTTTTTTGTTTTACTTTTAGTCACTAGGTATTCGGTAATTGAGTCTCATTTTATTTGACTGCTTCCTGATGACATTGGGGGTATTGTAGTTAGGAGGCCCAGGGAAGCTGGCTTATTATTGGTCAAGTTTGAGAAGAGCAGGCTGTGTCAGCCAATGTACAGATTCTGCTGGACCATCTGCTGGTGGAGAAGGGTAGTCTGTGAGGCTGGACCAGGAAGTGGATTCTGAGGAAACAACTGAGGCTGATGCTGGAGTTACTGGAGCATCCTGTAGTTGATTTGAAATCTGTTGGGACAGATAGTCTAGGGACCAAGGTAAAGTTAAGGAGTTTAAAAAAAAGTATCTTGATGTACATTTGAAACTTTTAGGTTCATGGTCCTGATAGTTGGGAAGAAGTCTCCCAAGACCAGGGAAAAGGGGAGAGAACCAGGGAAAATGGGTATCTCAGTGAAAGGGGAAGACATCCCATTCTTAGGAACAGGCAATAGGCAGGACAGCTTAGGCTGCTGCTTGGCATGAGTACTTGTCTGGAGTCTGAGAGTTCCTGAGAGGAGCTAGAAAAATTTAGATTAAGTTCTATAAGGTTAATTGGGGCACAAGTGTTATCTGAAAACAGTGCCTGCCTCTGTTGGGGAGATTATAATTTGAGAGGATTTTCTTACATCAGAATAGTTCTTTCTGGGGTGTTCAGGTGGGTTTTGAAATTGAAATATTGTAGGAACATGGATGATTAGAGAGAATCTTGGAAAACAGGGAGGCTTTGGATTGGTTGATTGAATTTGGAAAGATTGAGAGAACTTTATTTTGGTCCCCAAAGGGGAACTTGAGTGGTTAAGGGGACAAGTAGTCAGTGGTGGGTGTGGGGCATTGGCAACTGTGGTATCTTGGTGAGAGGGACTTTGACAAAGGAGACCATTTCCTGATAAATCCCTCCCTGAGGTCAAAGTCATTATGATATGTTCTTGCACACTGATAGATATCCTCACCCTTCTATCTGTACCTCGAGTGACCACAAAATCCACCAGGCTACACAGAGCCTTTCCCCACTCCTACCCCTGCTTTGGGGCCAAGTCTTGTTGAGACAGCCTCTGTTGGATTCTGATGGGCTGTGGGCTGCATCTTTCATATTGTTATGTATTACTTCTAACGGGCCTTTTGTGCCTTCATTGGTCATTTCCTGTCTCACAAATTCAGCCACTGACAAGGCAGCCCTTCTAAAATAAAATGTTCTCAAGCTTGGGCATATATTCCCAAACTCACATATCCCACACACCCCCCTCAGACCCCCTGCAGGTCAGCTGAGGTCTGACAATGATGTCACATAATGTATAGGATGTCACTAGTGTGAGATTAGGGCAATCGATAGTGCAAACTTAACTATTTTGTGAGCTGACAGTTCTGAGGATTCTCACATAAAGCTCAGGAGCAGACCTGTCCAGGCTGTGGTTGAATTCCCTTCTCTGGCAGCTTCCGGCTTTGGTCTTAACTATCACTGGATTTGATTGTGGATCCCGGGATTCTTCTAGTGAATTCACGTTCACTTGGAACATAAACTTTACCATCTAGCATTGCACCTTGAAACACATTCCACACGTACATGCCCCTAAAATAGTTTAGAATAGGTATTGGGCAGAGAGTGGCGTTAACTGCCACATAAATATGAGAAAACGTATTTTTGTAGGGGAAGTTATCTGGGTTCTAATGTGTTAGAATCACCTCCACAGACATTTATGATAGGGAAAATGTTAAGAGAAAATACTTGTTTCCACAGTTGTGAGGACCTTGCTGAATAGTGTCCAATTTGTGTTTGTATCTGTAGTCCTTCAAGGAATCCTGCCAGAAGTTCTATCAGGCTGGGCTAGAAGAGCTGTCCTTTGTTAAAGACACTGAAGGATGCAGAAAACACATCAACGACTGGGTGTTGGAAAAAACTGAAGGTAGGAGGTTTTCATTTATGTGGACTTTGGACTTTAGGGAAGGAGGGCTATAGCATGCTGGGCCACATCCTCCGTGCTGTTGCTCCTATGACCCAGCTCTCAGTGCTGTGATGGCATGTTTACTGGACTTTCAGGAAACAAGCAACTCTTTTTCCTCAGGATTATGAGATCCTAAATAGTAATTTCCTGAAGAACCTAACATGGAATCTCAGACTGCTTCCCTCTGAACTGTACTAGAAAGTCCTTGGGAAATGCTTTCTTTGGGGTTGTTGCTAATGTTCTGTCAGAGGAAATTCTGCCATGCTCTGAAACAGGACAGGGTTTAGATGCTGTTTCAGTTGGAGTTGGCCCATTGTCATTCTGTGCAAATTTGAGCAGCTTGTCATTTTGACTTGCAGCTTCACCCTTAACTCCTTTTAACTCTTCATGGTGACCATGGTTATGTCAGAAGATGAATCTCTTACAAATTTGCTCTAGATTTTAGATATCTTATTAATATTGGGATTGCAGTGTCCACAGACCCGATTTCTTCCTAGCCTCCTGAAATATGCTTGCCTGTTCTTGACTTGAACATAGAGCAAAAGAGGGTACCCTACGTATGAACAAGAAACATAGAGACTTCTAAGATGTGGAGGAATTAAGTCATTTACTTCTTCAAGTGACAAAACCCAGTAGTTAACACATGTACTTTATATGATACTTCCGCCATGTGCCAATTAGCAGCAAATGTTCTTGACCATCCCGAAAGTCTGTCAAAGGCTGAGCACGGGAAGGAGATAGCCTCTCTTGTTCCAGAGAGCATCTGCCTGATGGGCTCTTGCTCTCCATTGATGAAGTAGTAGTAACTCACTGAAGGCGTTCTCTGTACCTGGCCCTTCAAGTACCACTAGTTCTTCTCTAGCTCTTCACCTCCTTCCTCCAGTAAGGTGAGCATGTGCAGGTTTTCCCAGCATAGCAGAGCTGGAGGGTATCTTGCCAACCACCTTGTCCCATTTCATTGGGTGACTGAACTTGGTCCACTCTATGCTGCTTCCATAATTTCTTTCTTCAGTTTATTTCTTTTGGGTCCTCTCTTACAAAAAGGTCTTATATATTACAGGTCTATATTTCTGATCTTTGGGAAGCCTCTGCTTATCTAAATGTGATTTGGAGATTAGTACTAAGCAGTGATTCTTAACAAGGATTGGTTTTGCCTTCCAAACATGGCTGCAGGTAATTTTGGCTGTTGAAATTGAAGAAAGTATCACTAGTTAAACACCTTGCCATGCACAAATACACAATAGAACCTTACCCCAACAAAGAATTAACCTCATGACAAATGTCCTTAGTAGTGTAAGTGAAGATCTTATAGTGCTATGGTCAAGCGGGCATTGTTAGAAGCAAAGACATTGGGTTGTTTTCTTGGAGTAATCTACTGCTATCTCTGTGAACTTGGCAGAAGTTCGGGAAAATGTTCTCATCCTGAACTACTACACACACAAGGGGAAGGCTAAGCCATAGCAGCCCTCCGTGGTTTAAAACTTCTGTCTAAACATGCCATCTTGGGCACATACTGCTGCACCAGCATGTGTGCGACTGAAGGAGGGAGATTGTATGCTTGAAGGCACATTCTGCTGGATAGCAAGTTTGTCAAGGTTGAGGCCAGCCTGTGCTATGGAAAAAAACTGTCCTATGAAGAAATGGGGGGTGTTTAACTACAAATAATGCTCATGTCAAGAGGAATAAATGTAAGAGAATACTTATTGTCTCCCCTTTCCCCAAATCAGTATAGACTTCTCTTACGTCCTTCTTCTTCCCCCTTTCCCCTTCCTCCTCCTCCTGTTTTTTTTTTTTTTTAAGAAATATTTTTATGTTCTATCCAGGTAAAATTTCTGAAGTTCTGAGTCCTGGCACAGTCTGCCCAGTGACTAAGCTGGTGCTTGTGAATGCCATGTATTTCAAAGGGAAGTGGAAGGCTCAATTTGACAGGAAGTACACAAGGGGTATGCCCTTTAAGACTAATCAGGTAAGATAGTATTCTCAATGTATTGTTACTTTCTTAAAGTAGTAAGCTGAAAAAGATCATGGATGAGAAAAGGAACAAACAGCTCTTTTACAGAATCTTTATTCTTAATGTTTCTAGTGAAAGTAATGCCTCTTCTGTATCTTTAATTAGCAGTAGGAAGAGAAAGTAGAACAATGTGTATACTGCCTCTTTTTCCTTTTCTCATCCTTGGTCAATTTTATCTTCCATTTCCAGGCAAATGATCTCTGTTATGTAGGTCCCTGCTTGAGCCATGTTATCATGCCGATGTCATGCTGTAATTGTGGTTGCTTAGATATCTTTTGCCATGTCAATCGTAGCTATGTGGATCTGCTATAGAGTTCAAGGTTATAGAATCTTTGATGAACGAAAAAATTCTATCAGATGTTAGGCTAATTTAAGTATAATTTTCTGCATTCCCTTTAAATATGAAGTGGAATTTGACTTCTGTGAATGTATACATAGCAAGCTACGCAGAGATATGATAGTAAAGTCTATTTGGTACGGCTTTAAAACCGTCTGTTGTATACCTCCTGTCATGGTTCCTTCCCAAGAAAAGCAAAGACATAAAACCAACTCTACAACTTGGTAATGCTTCAGAATACAGGTAGATTTCTCTTTGTTTTGTCTGTCTTCCTAAATGAGGTGTTTCAGTGCAGCGGCCGAATGGCAGTGAATACTCTTCTTAACCTGAAGAAATGATGCTTGACTATAAATCCACACAGCTGCTTCACTATGAGTTTTCTCAAGAACAATCACAATCTCTTAAAAAACAATGTCAAGTTTTAAAGTTCTGTTTCATTATTAAGCTGTTCTTTTTTTTTTTTTTTACCTAGTAATAGTCCATCCATGGAGCAATAGTCTATTCTATTTGATACTGCAATGTGCTAATAAGGATTTTTCATTTAACAGAGAGGTATAGAAATAATGATCATTTTCTACTTTTCTGGGTTCCAGGAGATGAATATAGCTTAGTTTTAGTAATTTGTATTTTGTTTTGGGAAACTAACTTTAATTTTATATTCATTAGGAGAATAAAACAGTGCAGATGATGTTCAGGCATGCTAAGTTTAAGATGGGACACGTGGATGAGCCGAACATGCAGGTTCTGGCTCTGCCCTACGCTGAGGACGAGCTGAGCATGATCATTCTCCTGCCTGATGAGAACACTGATCTCGACGTGGTGAGTCTTGGGCACGGAGTGTCTGTGGAAACCCACTGAGCTTCTTCCTCTATGTCCATCTCCCAGCTAGCATTTGCAGAGTTTCTAGCTAAAGATTATTCCAAGCAGTGCTAGACAGGCACCCAGTGTGCCTTTTAGTGAACGTGCATATGCATTTCTTCCAAGACTATCTGGGAGTGGTCAAGTTTTAATAAAGCAATGATGAGGAAGCTCCAAAAATAGACGAGCATTTTTTTTTAATTTAAGAGGGAGGGATGGTTTGATGGCCTAATAATTTTTGAACAAAGATCCTGAAATAAGGATAGCACTGGGTCGTGATGACGTCTCCTGTATATTAAGATGAATATGAGCCCCATGCATAATATTTTAAGAAACGTAGGTTCTGACTTAGCTTGGGTTATTTGGGATAATGATTTGGGGTTTTGCATTACTAACAAGATTTCAGATGACGCAAGTGCAGTTGAACCATATATGACACGTTGAATATAAGGGGCTAAGGTACAGGCATGTGTGTGTTTTTGTGTGGGAGGAGGGAACTGGGTGGGTGGAGGTCGAGGGGTAGGAGACTTGTCTTTGATCATCCTCATGACAGAAAAGGAGCAAAGTGTGGAGAGGGAGAGACTTACGAAATAGAAGGTGTATGAGCAACAGCATTCTGCTAAGGCAGCTCTCAACTGGGGACAATGCTCCCATAGTTGACTTTAGGTTACCAAGTGCTTAAAATTAATACAAGCCAGTGACAGCATGCTAGCACACAAGATTGATGACGAGGCTTCTTTGTTTCTTTGTCTTTTCTATATAATCAGAAAGCTGTTGTCATAAGTCAAGAATGAGAGCTGTCATGGCCAACTGAGAAGGAACTTAGAAAAGTCTAGGAATAGAAGCAAATCCAGCAGCTGTCACTAGATGACAGCATTCCTCACTAGGTAGAGGGATAAGGGAATGCAGCTGGCACCAGCCTACCGTCCTCCTAATTCTGAATGTTGACCCTTTGTCATTCCAGGTGGAAACAGCTCTTACATATGAGAAGCTTAGAGCCTGGACAAACCCAGAAGCCCTGACAGAAGGTAAAGTGCAGGTCTTTTTACCCAGATTAAAGCTGGAGGAGAGTTATGACCTGGAAACTGTTCTTCAGAATTTGGGAATGACAGATGCCTTCGAGGAAAAAAGAGCTGACTTCTCTGGGATGACAACTAAGAAGAATGTGCCCGTGTCCAAGGTTGCCCACAAGTGCTTTGTGGAGGTCAATGAGGAAGGCACTGAAGCAGCTGCCACCACTGCAGTGATCAGGAATGTCCGGTGCTGTAGAATAGAACCAAGGTTCTGTGCTGACCACCCATTCCTTTTCTTCATCTGGCACCACAGAACCAGCAGCATCTTGTTCTGTGGCAGGTTCTCTTCTCCATAGTGGTCTTACAAAGCTGAGGTTTGGCAGAGTGTTTGCATAAAAAGCACAAGGCCTTGAGCTCAGCCCTAAGCACTCTATAAAATTAGGCGTGATGGTGCCTACCGACTTAGCATTTGTGAGGTGCACGGTGGGTGGGTCATACACTCAAGGCCATCCTCAGTGACACAGGGGACCCTGCCTCAAACAAAAAACAACGACAAAGTAGAATGTGTGATTGATTTATACACTATTCTTTGCCAAAAGCCAGAATTAAAATTCCATGTTACCAGATTTGCCATGGTGATTTCTATGTAAAGTGCTGCTCCACCCTGTTAACATCTCCACACTGTGTGCCTCCTCCACTGACAGACTTCCCAGGGAATGCCTGCGAAGGTCCCCCATTCACAAAGCTAAGGGTAAGAGCTACAGAATAACTGCTGTGACTGCCCCGTGACTCCCAAGCAGCTGACAGAGTGTCTCGTTCCATCAGTGTTACCCAGTACTCCCGTGTGACTCAGGGTTCAGGCAACTCTTTTCACAAGTATCAGGGCAAGTTCAAGGACTCAGCAGGACCTTCAGGCTGGAGCTGAGAGATCAGGCTCCAAAGTGCTTCCTTATCTACCCCGCCCCGACTTCTTTGTAAAGCTCCAAGTGTTTTTCTTATCTCCCCGACTCTTTCTAATGGAAACATCACACTGAATGATTCTTGCAAACCATGTCTCTAATTAACCATATGCTCAGACATGATTCAAATGCACCCCCAAAATGCCCTCAATGCATATGCATGCCAGCATCAGTACATAGACTCAGTGGGTTGTATTTATACGTGTGTGTGTGTGTGTGTGTGTGTGTGTGTGTTAACAAAGAAGTCATGAATATGAGTGGAAGTGACGGGGGCACAAGAGGAGTCGGTGAAGAGTGAGGAGTGGGAATGTAAATAGACTGCTTATATATGAAATTCTAAAATAAAATTAAAAATTAAAAAAGACTGAAATATATTTTCTGACTGCATATCATTTGTATTGTGGCAGAAAGAGGAAAATTATAGGAAAACATACAAAGAAAATTTAAGCTTTTCACAAGTACCCTTCTCAGAAATCACCACTAATATGAATATGTGTTATCTCTATTATATGTATGCAAATATAAATTGATAATATTTTAGCACAGGATAATGATCACTTTTGTAGATTATTTTCACTATAAGTCTTGCTCAAGACAATTATCATTCAGTGACAACATCTTCCTGTGCATTGGATGGGCCAGCCTTTTCTGTAACTGAACCTTTTTAGACAATTTGGAAAATTAAACATGTATTACAGACTACTGTGTTGAATATCTTCAATAGTTGATTAGAACTCTTAATTTCTCAATAAATATTACCAAAGTGATAATACTGTCAGTATAATGTTCAGGTATGTGATATGACATCCAAAACGATCTCCAAAACTTGAACTGCCTTAGTCACACTAAGGTTTCATTACGGTACACTAACTATTGCTGGTCCTATTAATGTTTAATGAGGTAGACTAAATAATGGTGACTCCTGACTCTGCTTTATTCTCAGTTGACAGTTCCATGAATCGTGCACAATGTAGTTCTTCATTAAATCTCACCAAGCTGTACAGAATGTGTCCCCGGGCCACCTTCAGCTCAGAAACTATGCTTTCCAAACAGCTTTGGCTGTGACCCAATCCAGGAGCTGAGAAAGTGTGACTCTGTGAACTTTGATCTGATTTCCATCTCTAATTTGGAATTACACTTTTTCCGAGGTATAATTGGATAGAATAGGAATAAGGGAATGCACAATTTGGTAAGTTCTGAAACATGCATCTACCCCCTGATGCCATCTGCACAGTTAACACACAGAGTAGGACTGTCATACCTGAAAATTTCCCCCAGATACATTTTGAAAAATCTCTTTTAGAATTAAAAATAAAATTAATTAAGATGTAATTTTATCATTTCCCCTCCTTCCTACTGCTCCCGTGTCCTTCCACCAAAGTCAGAGCCTCCTTGTCTTTATAGTTTTTTTACATATACATCTAAATGGGTCAACATACACATGCAATCTGCTGAGTCTGTTCAGTGTCCTTGCATGAATTTGTTTCTACGGCTGAACACTCAGTATGAGATAACCAATCCTGGGGCTCATCCCTGATGATGACTGATTCTCCCTGTCTCCACAGTGTTAATTAAAGCTTTTCGTCTAAGGGAGTGGCCCTGTGATATTTTCTCTAGTTACACTGGGATGTCAACTGTCACTGGAATTTCCAGGTCTTTTTTTTTTTTTATGTAGGTGCATTGTTGAGATTTCATTGTTTAGTTTCCCTCTCATAGCTAGAAGGCACAATCTCACAACACGCTTCCTGGTCTTCTGGCTTTTACAGTCTTACTGCCTCCTCTTCGGTGATGTTCCCTGGGCTTGTAACCTTTGAATTCATCTCCTCTCTGTTCAGTTCCAGACACTTACACCATTCTCAGGCAAGCGCTTCTATGTTTCCTAATTAATGTTGTAGGGATGCTGTATCCATTTCTATTGTTGTTCCTGATGTTTACTGAAAATACCTTTAGGTTCTTCTTCATTACAGTATAATATATATTACACTATATTGTATGTATATTTTAGTGTATAGTTCTTTTGTCTCTACTTAATATTTAATTATATAGGCATAATATGATTTCTTCATCCATTCATAATCTTATGGATATTTGCAATGTTGTCAAGATTTGATTATTGTAAATAAAGGTTTTAAGAACACTCATGCCCATATTTATTTATTAATGCTTCGTTTCTTTTGATTACATAGGATTGGAATGCCTTGGTTGTTTGGGAGGTGCAGGTATAGCATTTAAGAAGGGAGCACTTATGGAGGGATCCAGGGCTTCAGCTGAATATGTAAGAGTGGAGGGCTCTGCTGGGCACAGGTGGAAGATGAGATCCTTGACCTCATGAAGGCTGGACGCCCCAGGGGGTGGGAATTTTGAGGGTGGGGAAGTGGGAGTGGGGGGGTAGGTGGGGGTTCCATCCACGGAGAAGAAGGAGGAGGGGTAAGGGGATGGGAGGTTCCAGGGTGGGTGGGGGATGGGGTAAGGGGATAACATATGAAATGTAAATAAAATATCCAATAAAAAAAAGTTTAAAAAAAAGAACTACAAAAAAAAAGGGTGAGTTTTAAAAATATGATAGCTGATTCTAAGGCACAGCTCTGGAATAGTCATTACTATCATAGAAGTCTCCTTAGAGATCTAATCAGGTCTCACTTCAGTTGTAATTTTGGGTAACAACTCTATGCTCTGTTTTCCACAATTATATTTAATGTATTTGAAGTACCCTGGTAATGAAATAAACAAGCTTTTGTGCAAAAAAAAAAAAAAAAAAGAAATTGCTAAGCCTCTTATGGTTAACCCTAGCCCTCAGTAGGAGAGGTAAAGGCAGGAGGATTGCAGTGAGTCTGAGACTAGCCTGGTCTATGGAGTAAATTCCAGGCCCATAGGAGCTACGCAGTAAGACTCTGTCTCAGGGATCGGGATGGATAGATAGATAGATAGATAGATAGATAGATAGATAGATAGAAAGATAGATAGATAGATAGATAGATAGATAGATAGATAGGAAGGAGAGAGAGAGAGACAGAGCTCACAAACTGTTCACCTAAGCAGTTTGCATTATTTAACATTCCTAGCAAAGATATAGCTGCTGAACACACTAACTGAAATGTGCTTGATCCTCAATGTACTTTTATGTAAAGTGTCACATGTCATAATGGTTTTAGTTTTCATTTTGCTAAAATAATAGTTATAGTCGGCATTTTCCCAGTAGAATCATTTACTCTCCATATATGGTCTACAGTGAAATATCCTCTAAATCGTCTCTTATATATTTATATTATTTTATTGAAAAATACAATGAGAACAAATGATCAGGTATGTGAATTATAGGCTATATTTATCATTCATGCCCTGGGCTTTCCTTCTCACAAAAATATTTTTTAAAAATTGAAGTTTATTCACTTTAATGCAGTACTACATATTGTTTTGTTGATGCCCAGTGTGTTTTCTATCACATCTAAGAACTCTTCAACCTAAGGGTTCAAGAACTAGCTATGTGTCTTTTATAGGTGTTAATAGTGTTCAATTATAAATTTAGGCATAGGATCCATTCTGAGTTGTTTATATTGGAAATATCCTTTGAATCTATAACCGCATTAGTGTCTTATGTTGAAAGTCAGTTGATCATGAATATGTGGTTCTGTTTTAATGATTGTGCTTCATTGATCTATCTGCCTATCTTGATGCAAATAATACCACATGATTTTGATTATTGTACTTAATCCTGAACTCTGAACAAAGCTGAGTCTTGCAATATTACGCTTATGCCTTCAAAACTGTCCTATTTAAAGCTTCGTGATTTCTCTAAATTTCAGATTTAGTTTGTCTACTTATACAAAGGCTTGTTGGGATATTTATAAGGATTGCATTGCTATTAACAGAAACCTAGAGTGAATAGACATACGTGTCTTTCAATCTATGAACAAAGCATGTTTCCTCAGTTTTCAGGTCTTTTATCTTTTCATTCTGTTTGTAGTTTTCAATACACAGTTTTCCCACGATTACTGTTTTATTTTTCGGTATCTCTTATCTTAGACTATTATGGTGCTAAATTTTATTTTTGATTTATGTATGTTTTTGCTAGTATATAAAAACATATTTAGCTCTTGAATTCAATTTTCCTGCAAAAGTTATTTAGTTTCTGGCCCACCCTGAGGAAGTCGTATGCACCCATTTTCCACAATGAACAGTGAATAAACAATATGAACAAGCAAGGACTGCCTCTCTCATCAAGAACCTCTGTGGTGGGAGTGGAGGCCTCTTCCAAAGCCTCCCCTAGGTCTCTGGCAGAAGGGTCCTTCAAGCTCATGGACAATTGCTGCTAAACTAAGCCAGATTTCCAGCTCCCCATGGCCCTGGCCTCATTGCAGGCCCATGAGCCCCTGCCTTTTTTACTTCTCCTTGTGATTTCTGGATGTCAAGGAGTCAGGGAACCCCAGTTTTGGCCTCAGCCTATGCCATTCCTCACCAGGGATGGGGTCCCCATCTTAGGATGCATTCCCTCATCCCTTGAGCAGTGCATTGGTACTTCCCGCAAGCTCATCACCCAATGGGGGCTGTAGGGTCAAATACAGCATAGCGTCCTGCATTTAGCCCACCCAGCAGAGTGTCTGCTCGCCGGAATCACGCTTGTGATAGGCTTGTTTGTGATAGCCCTTCTAAAGGCAAAAGCCTATGAGGTTATGAAAAATGATTCTTATATATGGCTACGTGGCAGCAACTAAGTATGTTACAGTCTTGGACACTTCCTGCATTCTGTTGTTATATTTGCTTTGGACATAGACGTAGTTTACCTCAAGGGTGTAGTGGTATGATTACAGACGCACAATGCTAATAGACGTGCTATCATGAAAGGGGGAAGTCTGTTGATGCCCCATTCCTAAACAAATCACTAAAGGCAAGTGAGGAATGCTGATGTTGGAAGAGATAGTACCTCTCCAACTAACCCCCAACTTTGTTTCCAATTGAGTTGGTTAGCCTTGACATCATATACATATAAGTAACACTAAACAGACTGAGCAAGTCGTATTGACAGTTTTGTGCATTATATACGTACACAACAGTATATATTTACATATATATATAATGCAACATGTATATATAAATATATGTGTACATATATATTTCATACATACAATAACAATTAAGCAAAAGAGTCCATGAGTTTAAGAGAGAGCAAGATAGAGGTCATGGAAGGGTTCGGAGGTAGGAAAGGAATGCAGAAACGGATGTAATTATATTATAATATAATTATATTTTAATTTCAAAGATAAAAAATATTGAATTGAATATTTTTTCAATTTTTAAATAGTATTTATTTTTATTTATTTTTAAAAATCAAATCATAATTTTTACTTATTCACACAGGGGTTATAAACACAAAAAAGGCAGGATGTGGGGAAGGGGTTGACACTGGAGCATGGGTGTTCAGGGGGAATAAAGATATTTTTCAGAACAGGGTATTGGCTGGGTGAAGGTACAGGTCACTATGACTCTGCCTGTGATTCACTTGTCCTTATCTAAGTTGGTATTGTCTGCCAAGGCTACCTATTTACAAGGTCTATGACTACTCAGGCTGGTAAATTTCCACAAAAACTGCCTGTTTACAATAGCTTCTAGCCATCTGTTTCAATGTTTTTCCACTGAGACCCAAGACTTGGTGTTAGTATACGCTGATTTTAGGCCTATGGCTGGTTTTAGGCCTTCAGTGTATAAGCAGGACTGCCCCTGACATCTCCTCCCTTCTCTAAGGATAGAAGGGCGGTGGCAATTCTAATTTTGTGAAGGTGGGGATAGAGGTCTGACCTCCAGTAATTGAAAGGGACTTTGTAATGGCTCTGGTCCAGTGAGGCATGAGGACCATACTCATCCCGATTTCTTTTTCTTGGAGAGGGGATACTTTTGACATCATCAACCCCTATGCAGTCAGGCTTGTCCCTCAGGGAACACAGAGAAACATTTTTAACTTTTATTTATATTCCCTTGCAGTGCTTAGCCTCGCAGCCTAAGCAAG